TTGTTTACCGGTCCATGATTCGTACCAGAAATTTCAACCTCCGAGAAAGCAAATCGAAAGTATTATTCATGTGTGCTTGTACTTATCATTCAGGGTTCGCGTCTTCGTCACATAGTATAACAACATTTTGTGTATTTTGGATACGCCATTTATCGTGATTCTTTTTGATTAGTGTATCAATTCAAATAAATTTGGGTTTTTTATGCCGAAAGGCTTTTTCCCATAATTTGTGTTTTTCCTTCATGTTGGCGATAAGGCCAGCTGCGCGTGCCACCTAAAGTATGACCGCTTGCAATATTTATTCTATTCTAGGTAGAGAGATTTACATTGTTATCATTACGATTTATATTGGTAATGATAATTAATTCCCTTCTAAGAGTTCTAGAACTGATTTCTAAAACTAAATGGGTGTATAATATTGTTCACATTACTTTCAAATTTGGATGAGATATTGTTGTAGAAGAATTATGCATACCCAATGAAATGAATCAAACATAACGAGTACGAAGAAACCATCACAAAACTAACTTTCAAGACAAATGACATCCAATTTTGAATTTGTAATGACGGTAATAGATGTCACATGACTAGGTACTGTTGGTATTGCTGGTATCGAAAGTGATGTTAAAAACTTTACATGAATTCCTTTTGAGCATAAAATTCTGAGATATGAAAGAGATTTCAATATTAAAAAAAAAATAAATAAATAAACAACTATTGTCGCTATCACTTTCATCCTCGAACTCGGTTCAAAAGACACTTGAGTGAATTTTTCAAGCCATCCAGGATTTGATTCAAACCAATTTTTTTTTCAATCATCGTCAAAATCCGAAATTTCAAAAAAAAAAATTGAAAAATTGAAAAAAAAAATTATACCAATCGAAACGAATTCGAATTAATGTCGATGGATAGAGCTCGATAGTGACTCCTTGAAAAAAAAGTTACTTGATTGCAAGCATCAAGTCGCGCGCAATTCAAAAAAATTTTTAAAAATTGAAAAAATGTTTGTCACATACATACAGACATACATACGTACGGACAGGGTTTAAAAATTGCCTTTTCGAACTTTTTGGACCATAATGGATTGATCCAACACAAAAAAACAAAACCTTATTTCTGCACGATTACAATGCTCCCGTTTCGGGAGCAAAAAATACGGGGTGTTATAGTCAGGTAAAAGAATACATTTTCACCCAAATAAAAAATTATGAGGGTTGAAACCTCAAGCATTGATTTGGATCGCCCCATATACACCCGGAGTGTGCATGTGTTAAAACAGCAGTAAAATTATAGTATAGTGTAGCAGTAATTATACGTAAAATTCTATTTTTTCCAAGTTTTTTCATGCCAAATGTTCTCACGAACCAGTTATCAATTGGGAAATCAATTTGGCAGTGTCTATTCACACACTAAACCGTAACTTTTACCGTGGATCCACGGTAATTTTTTGTCGTGGATCTACGCCCTATGGCATCTTTTACCGTGGATCCACGGTAATTTTTGTGTACACCATATGGTAATTATTACCGTAGATCCACGCTGAAAAATTACCGAGGATCCACAGTGATTCCCGACAGGCGTGGGTCCGCTGTTTTACCGTAGATCTACGGTGAAAAATTACCGTGAATCCACAGTGATTCCCAACAGGCACGGTGTCCGCCATGGTTTCAATTAGAAAATCGATTGAAGAGGTTCCTGTTCAGGATCTCCAGATAAAACCATTGGAGTTCCACACCACCTCATCTCAGGATTCTATTGAAGATGGGAATTCCCCTATTCCTAATTCTGGGACAACTCTCACACATAAAGAAGAAAAGCCTGAGACTTCTCTTTTGAACGCTGGGTTCAACGAAGCACCATCCATACCCCATAGAACTCATATTAAGCTCAACCAGTCTGTGATTGAAGCTCTTGCTGGAACCAAAGATGTCCGGATGCTCGGGAAGTCTCGAGGAGCTCCAAAAGGACGAAGAACTACCGTGGCTGGGATGCCAGCACTATACCAAGGAACTCGAGGTAGAGATCGAGGAGTGACGAGAAGTCAAGAAGCATCCAGGGATTATGAGGTAGCACAAAATTATGGAGCACCTCGACGGCGAGGGCAGGAAAACGGTCAGTGGATAAAGCTGGTGGGATTGCGTCTAGGAAAAAAAAGTGATGACATCAAAGTTAAGATCATGTTAAAATGGTTATTGAAGTCAAACTATGTGGAAGGGTGAGATTTCACAATATTAAAAATTAAATGCACCGAAATTGATACTGCCGACCTGAGTGATTCCTTCATCGAAACTGAAGACGATCACATCCAAAGTTGGACGTCTTTGATGGAAAAGGGTGCCTTCAAGACATTTTTGACTGATGTGAAAATTAAAAGAGAGCAAGATGATTACAAATATGCTGCATGTAAGGAAAAACATCATCCGTCTTGTAAAAAAGTCGTTCGTTGTGATGGATGCCATTTGTGGTGTCATTGGATATGTGCGGAGGTAAAGAGGAAACCGATTGGTGATTAGTTCTATGGTTCATGTTTCACAGAAACAGCCAAAATTCATCCGTTTCACTTTCTTTTGTCATTAGCACTATCTACATTAAAAACTATACAATAAAAGTTGAAATTGTTACAAAATCGTTTGTGGCAGTTAATATCTAATAAAGTATGTAAAATTCCATTTTTCACTCATTGTAATGAAAAATATTCGGTAGATAGGGTAAAAATGTTTTTAACCTCGTGCGCTCATATCACCCACATTCATCGCATCCTCTAAACCAGGGATGGGCAACCTCTGCTCTGAGAGCAAGTCGTGCTCCCGACCTCTATTAGTACATAACAAAGGGTAGACGAAAGCTTATTGTGTTGGATGATGGGTCTTTACGACCTAAGTCGTAAAGGGCCTTCTCCTCGGCTGAAATCAACTTTGGTTAAGTGGGGATAACACTCAAGAACAGGAAAAGAAGAGAAATCGTCGCTGAAGAAAAGGAAAAGCGGGGAAATGAGTCAAAAATGGAAAATGTGAAATTTTCTTCACCATGACATTTTTATTAATTTTGAAAGCAGACGTTACAAATGAAATGTCAAAACCGGCTGTTTAGTTTAAGAGGCAAGGAACGAATTCCACAATGTCATGTTCCAGTGGTCCCGCAATTATCCTTTCGTAAATTTATTCAAGAAATGAAATTGATTGAAATAAAAATGTTAATTGAAGAAAATGAAAAAAAAAATATTATTAAAAAAAATATTATTTTTAAAAAATTTCATTTTTTAAAAATATTCCTTTTTTATATTCAGAATCAACATCAGCCGGTCAAAACTGCAATGTTTGGTATTTTTTCCTTGACATATTTTTCGGTAAAGTCGATATTGGACCAAAAATTTAAAAAGCAAGCTGAAAGATGTCACCAATTCGGGAAGCTGAATTTGAGGAGAACCTTCATGTTTCTTTCAATGACCAATAGTTATCTTCATATTCAGAAAATTTTTTTTTCATGTGTGGATTTTTTAATTTATATTAATCGCGGCGGCCATTTTCCCCATTTTATCATTTGACAGAGACGTCATGGGACGCTCCCCAATACGGTAACTGTGAGGCTCCCCACTTCTGTCCCCACTATGATTGTACTAGGACCCTTCTAATTGGCATGGTTATAAACTTTATTGGATTCCTAGCTCGAGATTATGACTCTGCTCCGAGCTACCTGGAGGTAGCCCATCCCTGCTTTACAGCTCCCATTTACTAAAATAATATAATCAGACACGAGTGTAGAAAGTAGTTTTTGGCTCGAGGAACGATTGTAACGCGACCCGAAGCGAAAAGCTGTCCACACAGCGTGACGAAAAAAACTTTTTATCACTCGTATCAAAATACATTACGGTGATTTTTCATCGTGGATTTACGGTAAAAATGGCGGACACCGCCCCTGTTGAGAATCACCGTGGATCCACGGTAATTTTTCACCGTGAATATACGCTAAAAATGGCGGACACCGCCCCTATTGAGGAATACCGTGGATCCACGGTAATTTGTTACCGTGGATGTCCGGCAAAAATGGCTGACCCTGCGCCTGTTGGAAATCATTCTGGATCCACGGTAATTTTTCACCGTGGATCTACGGTAAAATTGGCAGACCCCGCATCTGTTGTCAATCACCGTGCATCCATGATAATTTTTTACCGTGGATCTACAGTAATAATTCCCATAGAGCGTAGATCTACGACAAAAAATTGCCGTGGATCCACGATAAAAGTTGCCGTGGCGCGCCTGAATAGACACTGCCGATCAATTTATTGTCATATGAAGGTTGACAATTAATTTTAGTACTATTGCATGCTTTACATATAAATTATAATTTGCACGCCCTGGGCACCGGTGTGGCGGATCTCAGTAACTGGACAACTGATGAAAAAAAAAACACAAATTTTAATATCTCGAATACTTAGTCTGGAGGGGTACACATGTTTTGATTGGTTGAAATAGACAGCAGCGAGACGAATATTGTAAGAGGTGAAATATTAAAATCGGCGAGATAGTTTTCGAAATATTTACGAGAAAGGGTTCAGACCGTAATGACAATTTGTAAAAAACGGACCCACCAATCGAGCTGAATTTCGGCACAGACTTAGTCCTTAGTAATGACTATAATTTGGCGGAACTTGACCTTCTTAGAACACATGCACACATGATGCTCAAATTTTGTACTTTTACGTTTCGGACCATTTAACATCATTTCTAAGCAAAATTAGAAAATTCAAAAATCGGACGACTACAAGCTTTCCCCGTTCGGAAACAAAAACAGGGAAAGAGCTCTGAAAATCTGAAGAGCAGCACCGTGGTACTTGCTTTTACTTATAGTTAGAGGATAAAATCATTTGGACTTAGAAAATTAGCATCTTACCGATAATTGGTGAAATGACACATTTAAAAATATCTAACGGTCATTCAATATATTCTTCTATTACATTTGACCACATTACTATGACATGAGTGAATGGAGACCTTTTTCAGGCAGATGATGACAGAGTTTCTCCACGGAAAACAGACGGTAATTACTGGGAAACCGATGTTACACCGGAACACCCGGTTTCGAGGACCGCTCGAGTTATGGGAAAGCAAATGCGGGAAATAAAACAGAATGTACTATTTTGGAGAGAACCGAAGAATGTTAATCTTGACGAGTGGAACATTGATTCTACATATTATCCAAGTCATGTCGACGTCGTTATCATCGGAGGCGGTGCCATGGGAAGTTCAATTGCTTATTGGTTAAAAAAAATGTCCAATGGAGGACTAAGCGTTGTTGTCGTAGAGAAGGATCCAACGGTTAGTAGACGATAATAAAATTTATACTACAAGTTATTTTATTTAGGAGTATGTTGTTGAATTTTTTTTTTCAATCTTTCATTGGTATGGATTTATTGATGGTATGTTTCTGAATTGCTAGAGAAAATGCTCGAATCGTTGTATGTACTCTCATCTCTTCAAAAATCAATCTTTCAACTTCAAACTTAGCATTAACGATGTGGTGAGTTGGAAAATTGGTTGAAAATTCTCGAAAATTTCCGATCATCATGTATGGGACTTAGAAATGTTGTTTATTGTTGTATTATTTTGAAAAAAAAAGAAAAATTGAAATATCTCAAATACTGAGTACATATTTTGATTGATTGAGACAAAGTACATCTAGACGAATATTTTAGAGGTAAAGAATTGAAACCGGTTCTATAGTTTTCCATATATTTGTGAAGAACGATTCACACTGAAATGGCAATTTATGAAAAACGGTTTCACCAATCCAGCTGAATTTTTGCACAGTCCTTCGAAATGCCCTGTCACATATTTTTGCCCTCCACGGAAGAAGGGACAAACATACGCAGCGCTCTGCTTCCTATAACAGAAATGTTCCAAAAGTTGAGTTGTCCCCCAAAACGTCCAAAAACTAAAAAAAACTGACAAAAGGAACAGCTGCCGATAGCTCAGTATAACAACCGCGGAGGCGACTGGGTCAGCAAGATGCTGCTCCTGAACCTATCTTGAGATGACTAGAAAATCAAACAAAAAATAATAATTCAAATTACGGGGTAATATGACAATAATTTAATAAAAGAATTGGTACTACATTTACCTTACACATGCGTATAATCACAGCGTTTACCTGTTACTATTTGAATGGTATACGCGACGGTTACAGGCGGCGCTACGATTGCTCACGGGTGGTGTACTGAGACGTTAAGGATGAGTGTAATCACGCTGAATACACTCTAGTCAGCAAAAACTGACATCTCAATCGGCATAACCTAAATCACACTCCTTCGCGAAAAAAAAATTGTGAACCAAATCGATTAGTTGGTTTTTTAACATAAAATGGATGATTTTGAGGATGAATGGGAAAATGATAACGATAGAATTTTTTCCGAATCCATATTTATGGAAAACATTACGTCTGATGAAGTGAATTGCGATGACGATTCCATGGAATACGAAGTGATTAAGAAAGGTCCAATACTAAATCAAGTTGAAATTGAGTTAGAATTGTCCAGTAAACTCCCAGCACTCCCAAAGAATTTTCTAAAATCAATTGGAAATTCAAGGGATAAGGCAATGCCAGAGAAATCACGAGGGAGGTACATGATATCTTACAACAAATACCAAATGTGGATCTAGGACAATGAGTTTCGGGACCATTCTCCTGGGCATATTTTTTCTAAGGAGGTAGTCTTGGCGTATTTGAGTGGGAAATGAGACACCTGGGCTACAAATAGTCTCTGATCTACATACTGTGGACTTACGTGTGTTATCAATAGGCTTCACAGAATTGCGTTGGGTAAATACAACGAAGTTATTCATTTTTTTAAATGAATGAAGAAAGATTATGAGCCGAAAACAAGCTGCGATTTTTTGGGAGCATCAGACTTCACTATTTATTCGTGAAGCTTTAGATGATTTGTATTTAGTAGATAAGGTAAGCGGTCAAATAAATGTGGAAAAAATTGATAATAAATCAATTTCTGTCCCTGATAAACCTATCCCATTTTTTTGTAGGTCGCTCAAATTTTTGGCTTTTGAGATGATTGCAGAACTATTGAAATGTGGAAATTGCAAAAAGAGAACGTTCATAACTGTGTTGGCCATGGAACCAACGAGCTTTTTTTCAATGTTTTTCTTCTTGACACCAACACCAAGAAGCCAAGATCTGTCACTATTATGGGAGAGTATTATAAAATTGTTTAAAAATACATGAACTTACAACCTGATCATGCAACAGTGCCAAAAGTTTTTTTGAATTATTAGGAAGGGAAGTGTTCAATTTAACCGATTAGCAGAAACAAATGCTGAATACTTGGGATTGTAGAATCCACAACAATATACTGATCATTGTTTTCGTCGGGCAGGGGCTTCTTAGTTTGCTAATACTGGAGCAAGCATGACAGATATTATGGACTTTGGTGGATGGGAATCCTTCAATCCTTCGGTCAAAGGATACGTAGAAGACTCAGGTGTCAATGAGAATAAACGTATGCAAGACAAATCTGAAGTAATTTGTTACATCAGATCCGCAAAGCCAGCTAATGCTTTTCAGAAACGCCAATGAGGTTTATATGCGCGACAAAGTTGATTGAAAAATCCTGTCTGCAGCCATATCTACATAGGCAAACACAGCAATACCTACATAGTCAAACACAAAATCTTCACACATTGAAATTGCGCAAACAAGAGATTTTAGCCAAGAATCATCACCAAGATCGGTGAACAACAATGTTGAACACCAGGACAATCTGAGAGGCGAATCTAGTCCGCAGCCATCTATATCGCAAAAAGAAAATTTCCGCACATTAAAATTGAGCACACCAGAAATTAAAATCAAGAATCATCATCAAAATCCTTAAACAAAAATGTTGAACACGAGGGGAATCTCAATGGCGAATTACCACAAAAAGACTTTCGAAACACCAATCACCGAAACGAGAAAAATTTGAATGTCACAAACTTTTTAGAGACCATGCCATCAGTGAAGACTGTGAATTTCAACTTCCATAACATTTATTTCGAATAAAAACGAGACTGGACGGAAGAGTATTCAACTTTTCTCAATATATCAATGACGAGTAATATTGAAGACTGATACTCATTAGAGATAATTCTAGAAAAAAATATATTTCTCCATGAATGACCATTGCTGTTGAAATCTAAGAGAAATCATTTTAAACACCTAATGTAGTTATTAACAATTATGTTTTGTTATATATAAAAACGTGTTATGGCGCAAAATAAAGTTTAAAACTTCTGAAAATGAAAATTTTTAACTTCCTGTTCTATAGGAAGTTATTGTAATGACCCCGAAAATCAATTTGGAAATTTTCAACATATCTTCACGTTTCAAGGTCTCCAGAGTAATCCTGGACCATTTTCGAGAGGAGGATGTGTGTGTGTGTGTGTGTGTGTGTGTGTGTGTGTGTGCGAGTGCGTGTGTGTGTGTGCGTATGTTACTGGCGATGTACGTGGCCGAAATTGATCGGCAACGATTTCTCAAAAATGGATGATGCGATCGAAGTCAAATTGAGACCATCGAAGCGTTTCCACGCCATTTGGTGCTGATTAGATTATAGATGGAATTGCTCCAGCTGTTTTCCAGTTTTTCCAGAAAAACTGCGAAAAA